GTCTGGACTCAAATGGCCCATAGTACGTTCGACCCAACCAATTTCACCTCTCATTTCTCTCCAACGGCCTGCTCTCAAAAATCACACAATCAAACCCCCAAACCCCAATACTCAATGAAGCAATTAGATGCCTACGCACGCTAGACTCATTGCTTAGCTTAATCATACTCCTTTTGTCCTATATATATATATATAATTTTTTTTTTATTTTTTATTTTTTATTTTTTATTTTTTATTTTTTGTCGAATTATACACAAATTTCATAATATTAAGAGCTAAAACGTCCCGATACATCGCCTACCAATTTCGAATACATCCCTCAACGTTTTGATAAATCGCGTTTCGATTTAGTAGACATCACTCAACATCCTGATACATCACGTACTAGTTTCAAATACATCCCTCAACGTTCCGATACATCACGTCTCAATTTCGTACACATCACTCAACGTCTAGATACATCGCATAAAATAATGTATCTCATAATAGGAGACACATAAGAATTTTTTGTAATTTTTTTCAAATGATATCGGATTTTAAAGAATATGGTAAAATAAATTGTATATTTAGATAATTTTTTCTTTTTAATTTGTCCCAAAAAAATCACCTTTCTATGTTTAAATTTATTAAGTTCCCTCTTACTTTTAATTAAATAACCAAATGTGTAAAATTTATGATAGACTACAAATTTTAAAGAACTGTCTTTCTTGTAAAATTCTACTTCCAATAACATAGTGAGTAGTATAATGTGAAAGCGCTGCTGGTTAAAATAAAGTATATAGACTAAAGCAAGCGTGGAATCATTGTTTACCAACTTTGGATTATTTCAAGCCCTATACATATTTGACTATTACCACTGGTATAAATTTTCTTCATCACGCATTGAAAAAACATAGCACGAGTCACGAGGCTTGTGTAAATGTAAAAATAAAAGTTGGTACATTAATTATTTGGGTTAATATCTCAGATGATCACTCAACTATCCAGTATTTCCTCAGAAAGTCACTCACATGGTGACTTTTTAGTGAAAATTAAAAGTTGAGTGACTTTCTGAGGCAAAAGTGGATAGTTGAGTGACCATCTGATGTATTAACCCTAATTATTTGTTACTGGGCGGTGCCAGTAACGCCCAAGTCTTGCTTGGTCTCATCCTTGCCAGCACCAAAAACAGGGCCTCCTAAGCCAGCCTGTCCTCAAGTTTCTCAATTTGAATACCACATTCATCTTCACTTGAATGGAGATCCGTTCTAGGCTTCTTCTCTCCCTCTTTCTCAACTGATTCATATGTAGTTGGTGTTAAACATCCCTTTGGCTGTGCTCCTTGTTCCCCTGACATTCCTTTTTTACTCTGCTTCGTTTTAATTTACGTGATATAATTTGATTTGTTATAGAATTTAAAATAATAATAAAAAATTGTAATCTTCACAGATGTGAACAAGGAGTAATATATGTTCCTAGCTCTCAAGTGCCTATCTAACTTTGAGTAAACATGGACGCTTCAATTGTCATCATGGAATGACTGAAAAGGCTGCCACGTATCGTACATGAAACTCCATGTGCCTAATGTAGACAAGCTCCATTTGTACTACTCCATAGATATGCACTGTCGGTTAGGGGCAGACTTAGAACGTTAGGTTCATCCCAACTTCTCTTTATCAAAATTTCTGACTCTACTATTAGTATAACCATTTCATAAAATGGGACATGACCGAGTTCTGCAGGCTGTCACTCGCTGTGAAAAAATAGAAGATGAGTAATTACTTTACTTAGAGCCTGATTGACTTTAAAAAAATAAAAATTTCTCTTGGTTTTTGACCTTGTCAAACACTTCTTAACTTGTTATTTTAAGTTAATTTTTTTATATTTTTCAAACACTTTCAAAAAAGACCTACTTTTAAGCCAATCTAAAGACCTCTTAGTTTTTTTTTAACCCTTCCTAGGAGCTCCCACCCCTTTTGCTCTCTTGATGACTCGAACTCGCAACCTTAGGATTGGAAGTGAGGGGTGCTTACCATCCGAGCAACTCTCTCTCGTCAAAGACCCTCATAGTTATACTCTGTTGTTACAATGATTTTATGTTTTTTCGCTAGATTTAAGATAATTTGGACTAATTAAAAGTATTGAATGGTAGTTTTATTGTCCAAATAATTTAAATTATGTGAAATTATTATCATAATTATCTATATACATTTAAAAATCGCAATCAAATAATACTATTAATTACTTGTCGAAAGCCAGTTTGAGCAAGAGAAAGTATAGTATTTTACACGGTATCTCAATGAAAGATTTATTGAACTAATTACTCAGAAAGCTACAACTACGTATAAAGATAGCTACACATTATAACTCCTTAAAATTTTAGAGAAGAAAACAATGATGCATGTTTAACGCAAGCTTTTGAAAAGTTAAAAATGCCTATTTCTCCGAGTTTTACTATGCTGCCAGTGTCACTGGTCAACAATAAGAAGGATAATGGTCAAAACATTGGTCATTGACTGACTGACTTACTCTAGGTGTGCTGGTCATCAATTGATTTACGCAAAGCTATCGATAACTGACAAATGAAAATGCAAGTCATTTTGAGGCCAATTGAGATGAAAGGCTGGGGATGAAGATAAATACTATCTCCCCTCCCATCTTATTATATTAGTTGATCATTTCATATTAATTGTCTAACTTATTAAATTAAAAAATATTAATTAAACTTTTTCTATATTACTCTCACAATCAGTTCTTTTTCAAGTGTTCACATTTTATTTATAAAATTTCCAAGAAATTTTATAGAGAGTGAATTAGTAAAAAAAAAAATTGATCGACTAATATAAAACGGAAGGATAGCTTTTAATTTTTCATGTCTATCAACATTGTGAAGACAGCAAATCGAAATCTAATAAATGCAAAGCTAAGGATATTAGAGTAGTGGCCAGTAATGTTTGGGGTTAGGAAGGCCATTATATTGTCAAGTTTTTGATTGCGGCTTTACCTTTCAACTGGGCCCAAAATCCATGTGAATTAGTCCCTGACTTCTAACCCACTAAAACTTGTGGTTAAGGGTGGATCTCAATCCAGTTCCAATTGGCAGCAACCCATTGGGTGAAATTCTTACACAAAACCCTCATCTGACTCAGCTTTACTAATTGTGTTAATGTCTGACTGAGCAGCAGCCACGAGGTCTCTCAACAGAATACATTTTTGGGTTTATCCTAAACAATAGTATGAGTATTTGAAAGGACAAGAAAAATGAATAAGTTGACGCTGACGTTTTTTTTCCTGTGCATTAGGAATTGGTAACAGAACACACGTACGTAGCATTTGTAGTCGGTATCCTGGGAATGTGCTCTCAAAATAATTTGAATTAAACTTCTCTCGTAAAAAAAAAAAAAAAGTTGTAAAGTTTAAGAAGAATTATAACTGGACTACAAAATCAATTCTCTTTAATAAATAAATAAGTGTGCATTACTGACTATTTCGAATTCAAGAATGACAACTTCCATGTAACACTAAACAGAACTTTTTCACACGTAAAAAATTCAATCTCTAGAACAATGTTTTGAAGAAGAAAAATAAACGGGTGCTATGACTATTTTTCAATTATTTTATATTAATTAGCAGTCTTAAAAGTGGCTACCACTATTAAGATCTCCTTCCAAATATGATCGAAACACTTAGTCATGGGTGGTGTTTGAGGAGACAAGGTGCTGCTAAATGCTAATGGTGGAAGAAGTGAGTGGAGAGGATTTGCACAAATAATTAACGGAGGATAAAATTAATCCATTTCACATAGTAATAAGGCAAAATTGAACCTTATCCCTTCCGAAGATCGGATGGCTTTTAAAAGTAAAAAGGGAAATCAAGAATCCACCTTTCAGTTTCAAACTTTTCGAAATGGATGTCTCATTCCTTAAATGATACTTCCTCCGTCCACTTTTATTTGTCATGTTACGTTTTTTCAAAAGTCAAATTAGATTACATTAATTTAATATTTTAAACAAAAAAAAAATCAGATATTCAAAAACTATACAAATGGTACTATAAATTGCATTTTTTTGCATATCAATATCACAAAAAAATACATCGTAAAATGTTAACCAAAGTTCTTATAGTTTGACTCTAAAAAAGGAAACCGTGGACCACTCTAAATTTTGAACTGTAAATTTATATACAGTCTCGTAATTAACGTTCCCAATCAAACTATACAAAACGTTCTGGCAAAGTCTCCCAGTAAAAATAAACAAGGTGAATTTCTCAAAATATTACTGCTTCCATGAATTAATGATTGACTTGGATTGTTTATATCAATGGAGCATTACTCTTTCTTTTATGATCAAAATCTTACACGAGGGCATTGAAAATAGAACAAGGTGTATTGGCTTATTAAGCTTGTATTCTTAATTGTCAGATAAAAAACATATTTGGAAGATGTAATTAATCCTTAAATCATCACGTCTCAAATACAAAAATCACTTGCAAGCTGAATTGTGACATTACGCTAGTACTATCTGAACAAAATCTTGCATACACCACTATGCATCAGAGTGCACCAATGTTATGTGTGAACAGATTTATACACATACAGTGAGACCTGATAAACAATGGAAAGTGTGTCAATAAAGTCTCGAGAAATTTTTCGATATACATGAAAATAGGATCATATTTGCTATGTTGAATAAAATATGAAAAATATTATTGACATAAATTATAATAAAAATGCTTAAATAGAGTTATATGGGTGTGATTATCTCTCTAGTCTCCCCCTAAAAGGCAATCTCTTGGACAAAGCTCTCCCACCTCAATTGATTCCAAAAGCCAAAGGCCCCTGGACCCACTTGTTCAACCTCCCTGTTGCTTGACTCCACCAGAATCATCAGCCACCACAAGATAATGAAACAACTTTTCCTACCCATTAACTTGTCTCCACGTGTCACCTGTGGATTCTCTCCCCACTTGGTAGTTGCCTAGTTGTCATTTTCCCTCCTTTGCCCCTTCACATTTCACAGTGCCCCATAAGTCTCCAGCATTCTTGCTCAACTTCACTACTCCAACTACAAGTTTTACAACACAAAATAGAGAGTAAGAAAGAAAAGAAAAGAGAAACCAAAATTAGTCGGTCCAATGTTGAAAAAAGAGAAGAGTGGGGGGTTTGATGGAAGTAGCAACAATTGGGCAAGGGTGTGTGACAGTTGCCATTCCGCAACATGTACTGTTTACTGTCGGGCGGATTCCGCCTATTTGTGTGCGGGCTGTGATTCCCGCATACATGCAGCAAGTCTCATGGCTTCTCGCCACGAGCGTGTATGGGTTTGCGAAGCCTGCGAGCGTGCCCCTGCTGCCTTTCTTTGCAAAGCGGATGCTGCCTCACTTTGTGCCTCTTGCGATGCTGACATCCATTCTGCAAACCCCTTGGCACGTCGTCACCACCGTGTCCCAATTATGCCCATTCCAGGTAGCCACCATTTCTTTTTTCACACACAACATATATACTCCTACATGTTAAAAATTTCAATAAATATGACTTCTAAACCATAATTTCAAAAATGTAAAATTGAATCCATCAAACTTAAATTCTAAATTAGTCTCTGATTCAAATATCCAGAAACCCTCTATGGTCCTCCAGCTGTTCACACCGTTAGCGGTGGTTCTATGATGATCGGTGGGACCACAGGGGAAGGCACGGAGGATGATGGATTCTTGAGTTTGACTCAAGATGCAGATGATACAACCATAGATGAAGAAGATGAAAATGAAGCAGCTTCATGGTTATTGTTGAATCCTCCTGTTAAAAATAACAATAAGAACAACATTAACAATAACAACAACAATCAAAATAACAACTATGGGATGTTGTTTGGTGGGGAAGTAGTGGATGATTACTTGGATCTTGCAGAGTATGGAGGGGATAGTCAATTTAACGATCAGTACAGTGTTAATCAGCAGCAGCAACATTACTCTGTTCCTCAGAAGAGCTATGTTGAAGATAGTGTTGTGCCAGTTCAGAACGGACAGCGAAAATCTCTGATTCTTTACCACCAACCGCAACAACAACAACAACAACAACAACAAAGTCACCACCTGAATTTTCAGCTTGGAATGGAGTATGACAATTCTAACACTGGATATGGTTACCCTGCTTCTTTGAGTCACAGTGTAAGTTTTCTTCACTTTATCGATATACCTCACTTTGTGAGTTGTCTTACGAAGCTACTACTCTGTGCAACCTCAGTTTTTTTAACATTTCTTTTTAGCTTCCGAATTACTTTTTCCAGCACTTCGTCCTTTTTCAACAGAGGATTTGTCATTTTAGGTGCTCATTTGCTATTATGATTACCTTTACATACCTAAACTGACCCTTGAACTTTTGTCGTATTAAACTTTACCTAAGATTATGCTCTTTCCCAAATAAACAAAGATGTTTAGATTCTTCTTCACCTTCCTTGACATTGAAATAACGTGTAATTAGCAACTCTTAACAATTATCCTTTATATTCAAGTTATAAATAGTAATTCACTATAATGTTTAAACTGCTCCAATTCATGTATGCTACTGTTTAACCGTGTTCTCAAGATTCTTTGATAAAACTTATCCTCAAGGGTGGAAATTCTAAGAATCTTTACCTTTTCAGCTTCTCCATTGGGTTTCTTTTGACACTTGATTTAACACAAGGTTACCATGTTTATGTTAATAATCAGCGACATGCTACACAGATGTTGCTGTTGCTTTATGTGCAGATCCTTAGGATAAATCTTGTAGTCTAGCTAGTCTGTTTTCTTGAATGGACCAAGGAATTTTTATGGATCTAACTTATATATACTAATATTATAAATAATTACACTTAAATGTATTTTAACATGTTTTTTCACATAGCTAATTTCACTTTCTATGGACAGTTAACTATAATTATCTTTTTAAGTGATACATGAATAGGGAAGTTGACCACTCATGTTTTTGTTGTCTTTATGTATCATCAGGCTTCCATTTCGTCGATGGATGTCAGTGTTGTTCCAGAATCTGCACTAAGTGAAACTTCAAACTCCCATCCACGACCTCCAAAAGGGACCATCGATCTGTTCTCAGGCCCTCCAATTCAGATACCTCCCCAGCTTACTCCAATGGACAGAGAAGCCAGAGTCCTAAGGTACAGAGAGAAGAAGAAGAACCGTAAATTTGAGAAAACCATAAGGTATGCTTCAAGAAAAGCCTATGCAGAAACAAGGCCAAGAATCAAAGGCCGATTTGCAAAGAGAACGGACGTAGAGGCTGAAGTAGACCAGATGTTCTCCACACAATTAATGACAGACAGCAGTTATGGAATTGTCCCTTCATTCTGAATGCAACAAAGAGAAGATCAACTACAAGCCCCTAAACCTAGAATTAATATTGTATCTCTTACGTCATTATCGATCTAAGGCTATTGGATAATGAGAAATGTACTACAGCAGTTTTCCACAGAGGATTTGTTAAATTCTCTGCTTTGTTGTATATGTAAAAAGAGTTCTTCCTTGTAGACCACGTTGCAGTCAATACGTACAATTTTCTCAGAAAGAAGTAAAGAAACAGCTCCTCCAGTGTGAAGGGGTTGACCCAACAAGACAAAAAGTACTAGTTCCGCAAGAAGCAAAGAGTTGACTGCAGTAACAAGGAGTATGGTGGGATGGATGAGACATCAACAACCTTAACCAGAAGTCTCGGGTTAATGGAAAAACTTTTAGTAAGAAATGCTTACCTCCTTAGTGGACCTACCTGACACATAGATAGATACTGGATGCCTAAAGGGAAAAAGAAAAAAGAAAAGAAGAATTGACTGCATATAACTTTTCCACATTAAAAGAACTCAGTACAGCCACAAGTAATGGGAAAAGCAAAATTACCGACGACCTCTGAATGCTCAGTGGCTGTATATGACATTGTGTGCTGGTGCAATATAATTGAAGCTGAGTTCTGCTGTCTGCTTTCTGCTTTCCCCTGTGGTCATCTTATTGTTGGAACATACTCTTTTTGGATGACATATAATGTTCATCAATACCTGCTTTTGGTCCAGGACCTCTTCCCAAATTCTCCTTCAATACAATGAATATCCCATCACTGAAGATAAAGAATAAAAGGTCCACTTCTCCAAGGATAGGAAAGCACAATATTTTTGCCGAAAATGGTACTGCATAAGCGTAAGCAAAATACTGCTATGATCATCAAACTTTTTGTTGTAATGACAGAATCAAGGTACACGATATCCCTAAAACAGCTAACATACAGCTTCTAATTTGTAATGAGCAAGGAAATAGGTAATTTGCTCAAGAAAAAGAAGCACTTTAGTGGGTGGTGAAAGGAAAACTAAAGGCGATAGAAGCAAGGGGACTGGGGAACGACATCTGTTAAGCTAATGAAAAATCTCTAAGACCAATCATCTGTATTTACCCTTGCATCAAGTCAAACAACTACTAAAGTGATCCTCCTATCTTGGAATCTAAAGAGTTCTCACTTCTATGTATCATTTATTTCATTAACTGTTTATATATAATCAACTAAAAGCACTTGGCAGTAGGAAAATTACTTGATTCAACAAACTGGTGTTGTCAAAAGCAAAAGGTAAGAAGAGCAACCAGGGTATGGTCGGGTTTTAAGTGCAAAGTGCAATTAAAAAGCACACGTTAATGAAGGAGACGAAGATGATGAAGTATGTAAAAATAAACACAAACAAGCATTTATATGGACTAAGGAATTGAGAATAAAATTGCAAACATAATAAAAACATGTCAATAAAGTTCAAAGTCATTTTTTTATTCCGTTGCAAAGATGCAAATTTAAGTTTCTAATTCAATTTTATTGACTAATTTGCTTTGATAAAGTATTTTATTGACCTATTTTGAATCACTAACATTTTTCCTTAATGTTTTCTTAACAAGTGATGTATCACTTCGCTTTGTAATTATTTTTTAGCTTGCCCACTTCAAAATCATTATAAATTACTTAAACTTATTAAGAAGCAATTAGTTGGCTGTCTTTCTAAGGCACAGACCTCACACTGCCTTAGCGACGCAGAACACCAAGTCTGCGATGCATCTAGCTTCAAGGTTTATGCATTTTTTTTTTTTGAAACTGGTAACATTGTATTCCTCAGCATTAAGGGCTATGCTGGCCACCTCCAAAAGTGTTAGTTACATAGAAAAACCAACAAAAAGACAGGACTACTTACAAAGCTCCTATGAAATCCACTAGTTGAATTTCTTCTTCTATGTTCATTTCTTTACACCAAAAACCTAAAGTGGTAATTACTTTCCACTTAATCTTCTCTATAGTGCATTCTTTCCCTACAAAAATTCTTTGATTTCTCTCCTTCCAAATGATCCACCAGATACAAGCAGGTACTGTTCTCCACCACCTCCGCTGGCTCTAACTACCTCCCCTTCTGACCCAACTACTTTCCTCATGCGCACTTCTAACAAATTGCCTCATAATCCAACTTCAAAAGGAAAGAGGTGTGCTTAGAATAGAATCTTCTCCATCTACATCAAGCATACATGACTTATTAGGCTCAGTTATTTCTGAACTACTCTACTTACTACCAAAACAGTTTACCACTAAAAAGGAGGTATTTCATGGCCTCAAAAGTATCAATAATCAAAAGACAATGTCCTTTTATCAGTCTTAAGCTGAAGGAAAGCATATTGCACTTTAGCCTTTTTTTGATGTGAAGTAGTCACTGAAAAAGTAACAAGCCAAGTTCCAGCTTATCTAGGAATAAGGTGAAAGTGTAAGGAGGTAAGAACTTTGTGGCTAAGAAATTTCATCCAAGAATGGCTTGGACGTTCACTTTTAGGTCTTTTTTGATCATTGGGTACTTTTAGTATCCAATTCTGCACTGCTATTCGTTGAACAGAAGAACCTTTATCCACCTCACAACTCACTAGCAAAGAAAAAGAATACTCATTAATGTGTCACGACCAATATTATTTTGCTCAGTTACTCCTGCACTACTCTATTTACTACCAAAACAGTTTACCACTAAGAACTACTATCAATAAAGATAGTTGCTGCTCTCTTCATACTTGTTTGCAGGTTAATAAGTTGCTCATCTATCTTTAGCAATGCATGTGATCCAATTCATTGGATTTCAAGTCACAGTAAACCGTGAAGCATACTATTAGGAGGTATTCATGGCCTCAAGCCCTCAACAGAAATTAGTAATCAAATTATGCAACTGATTGAACAAAACGCATAAGGAAAGCATATTAAACCTTTTTTGATGTGAAGTAGTCATTGAAAAAGTAACAAGGCAAGTTTCAGCTTATCGAGGAATAAGATGAAAGTGTAAGGAGGTAAGAACTTTGTGGCTAAGAAATTTCATCCTAAAATGGCTTCGACATTCACTTTTAGGTCCTTTTTGATAATTGGGTACTTTTCGTATCCAATTCTGCACTGCTATTCGTTGAAGAGAAGAACCTTTAACCACCTCACAACTCACTAGCAAAGAGAGAGAATACTCATCAATGTGTCACGGCCAATATTATTCCCACCCAGAATAAACGGACAAACAACTCAGATTGTTTGAGTTATTCCTGAGTCTTTCAAGTTGGATCAGGTCCCTCTGATTCCATGGGTACTTTAGCTATCTATTTATGCCATGCCATTTGCTGAACACCAGCACTTTTTCCGCAGCTCATAAGAGCCAAGCAATCCATCATGGAGCAATTCTAGTGATTCCAATGCAATAAAATTATTAAAACAACAAAACAACCTTTAATGATTTTTCTAATTCAATGTGAAAATATCAAACTGCATTGCTGGTTGACTCCACAACAAAATCCAGATTTAGTAATCTTATTTCTTGTCTGTGAATAACTAATTTCGTGCAAATTTGCTGCTCGAGATTATATTGTACACACACACAAGGTGGTGTCCAAAATGTTCAACTCAGTGGCGAAGCCAGGATTTTCATTAAGAGGGTTAAAAAATATGACGAAATAAATACACAAGTCAAGAGAATTCAACATCCACTATATATACTTAAAAATAATTTTAACCGTGTACATACAAAATAATTTTCCAGCGAAGGGGATTCGAACCCTCTTTCCCTTTCCTGGCTCGACTCCCTCGCTACCTCCCACCAGCACGGTTTTCAAATTATTCCGCTCACCAAGATTTAGGCAAATCGGAAAAATCTGTGTAATGTCGTCTCTGCTGGAATTTGAACCTTGGTTTCCAAGGTTTTTATCCCAACTCCTCAACGTCAAGGGAGAGAACAAAACCATATTACCTAAAGATAATTTTATTGGTCGTTTTACATATTATGTGAAGGTGTGAACCAAGGAAACCCACACATAAGGCTTCCTCATTTTAGATTGTATCAGTTGAGGGTCAAAGTTTGCACCTGGAGGATAATCCTAACAAATATTCTATAGATATGGTTTAAAAGAGAATGTAGCACTTTACTTTATTCTTTTGTGGATCAAGAATCTTAAGAAAAAATGAAAAGAGCATATTCCATCTCACAAGAACATTGAAGTTATCCTGGACCTGTTGTGTTCCACAGAAGTAACCAGAGAAAGGCTAAACTTTCAAGTTTGAGATCCCTCCTATTCCATGGGTACTTTATGTATCTATTTCTGCTCTGCCATTTGCTGAGTCACAGCACTTTTTCTACAGCTCATAAATGCCAAGCAATCCACTTGTGATTCCTATGCTTATAAAATTACTAGTTTTTGGAGGTAGAGTCCTGAGAAAAAGTGAAAAGAGTAGGTTCCACTTAAGTCACCTGAGCACAGCTAAGCCTTTAAGCTTTGAGGTCCCTAAGATTACAAGGGAACTTTAGCTATCTATTTCTGCTCTGCCATTTGCTGAGCTGCAGGTTTTTTTTCCCACAACTCATAAATGCTAAGCAATCCACCATGGAGCAATTCTTGTGATAGCTATGCTTAAAAAATTATTAAACAAAACAAAACAATTTCCAGTGATTTTCTAATTAATGCGAAAATATCGAACTTCATTTCTGGTTGATTACACAACAATGTCCAGATACAACAATCTTATTATTGTGAATGAACAACTAATTTCGAGCAAGTTTGCTAGTCGAGATTGTGCCTTACAGAAACATATAGTGAGGCCAGGCTACGCAGCTTGATTAAGTCACCAGGTACCTACTACCTCCAACCGGCTCTACAAGTATCGAATAATTATTTCCACCAAGATTTAGGCAAATGCGAAAAATTCTAGTAGCGTCACCTCTATTGGGATTTGTACCTTGGTACCCAAGGCTATTATTCCAAGTCCTCAACTGCTAGGGGACACAGGCAAATCATATTGACTAAAGATAATTTTACTAGCCGTTATTTTTCATAATGTGCGAACGAAAGAAGCACACACACAGACGTAGGCAAGATTTCAACAAAAATGTTTCATCTTAGATTGTATCAGTTGACTGTCAAAGAATGCATACAGAGGCTAATCCAGGCTAATATTTTAAAGCATATAATTTAAAAGACAATGTAGAGCTTCTTTCTTTTAACTTTTGTGGATAAGAGTCCTACCATAAAGGTGAAAAGAGTAGATTCTATTCAGCGAGAACATTGAAGTTGTTCCACAGAAGTCATTAGAGCCTGGCAAAGCCTTTCAAGTTTGAGGTCCCTCTTGATCCATGACACTTTAGTACCTATTTCTTCTCTTCCATTCGCTGAAAACCTGAAACTCAGCACTTTTTACAAACTCATATCTCAGTTTTTTGTGGGTGTGAGGTCCTTTCAGATCCTTAGGACTTTATGTATCTATTTCCGCAATGCCATTTGCCAAACATCATTACTTTTTTTATCTGGTTGACAGCCACAACAAAGATTCTTTCGTGCCATATCATCAATTTTATCCAATAATAGCATTAAGAGGTAAAATTGTATAAGCATTTCAAATTTGTGTATTTAGTGGGGAAAAATCTGAAAAATGCATTTGTCCTCTTTTTTATATACCAAGATGCATTTGTATGTAGAGTAATCCCTTTGTATATACCAAACAAAGATTCTTTCATGCCATACCGAGATGCTCTACCTTAGAGGCAATTGTCCCTTTATAGATATCAAAAAACAATGAGAACAAACCTAGTTTAATCCCACAAGTGAGGTCTGGAGGGAGACAGATGTATGCAGAAATACCTTTGTGGGATAGAGAGATTGTTTCTGACAGACCTCGGCTAAAAAAGTGAAGTTATTTGGAAAAGGATTGCAGGAAGAAAAGAAATGACAGCAAAATATCAAGCTACATGCAAAATAGAACAACAGATAGCAAAAACATTGACAAAAAAAAACTGTGATAACTAAATTAATACTAATAAATAGGGACAAAAGGATATGAGGTTAGCCCCTGCCACTCCCAACTAATGAGCGACCACATTCAGCTACCTACTAACCTTCTACCCTAATCCTCGATCGCCATACCCTCTTATCTAGGGACATGTCCTCAATAAGCTGAAGTGGTGTCATGTTTTGTCTTGTCTAATCAACTCCCCCCATTTCGTTTTTGGTCACCACTACCTCTCCTAACTCCTGCTACAACCAACCTCCTAACTAGCGTATCCGCACACCTCCTCTTCACATGCCCGAACCATCTCAGTCTCACTTCCCTCATCTTGTCCGTCACGAATGTCATTCCCATCTTACCCCATATAGCTTTGTTCCTGATAATGTTTCTCCCTTTATATACCATTTCTAAAATTATGTGTACCTATATGAAGCTTGTATTCTTTATCAGAAAAAGACATATTTGGAAAAAGAAATAAATCCTTAAACCATCACGTCTCAAATTCAAACAGACTTATAAGTTGAACCATAACAAACCGTAACAATAGATGTTAGTATCATATGTTCAAAACAATAAAGCAGAAGATACGAAATAATCAGGAAAGAAAAATTTAACGAAAAATACAGAACTGTGAATTAATTATCCGAGCCCACAGAATTCGCTATGTGTCCTTAATAAGCCCTAGCCCCATATAAGAGATCTAAAAAGGTCATTTTCTTCTTTTCAATTTGTACGTGGTCATAAGAGACCATTTCCTCTCTATCATTAGATAAAAGATACATGTCAATATTCAGACACCAAATCAGTTGCCCAACATACATTTTTTCAATTTTGAAACAAGAACTTTTATCGTGTCTGTTGCAGCACCAATTATTTTCTTTTGATGTGGTGCTGAGTTTCTTTTCCTAATGTTAGTAGAGCATCAAAGTCTCAAGTCTTTCAAATGAGGTTTTCTATGACAAAGTTCCTCTATATTTTCTCAACTGCTATTTTCTTCTCCTTCCTACACCACTATTTTGAAATCATAGAAAGGGAAAACGTCAATATTATAGATGCTTATCAAAGTACTGAACTCTGAAGGGATCTTCCAAACAGTATAAATTCAACATGTGAAGTAAGCCTACGTATGCCAAACTCAGCAATTCTTACAATGAAACAAAAATAATCTTGCTCTCCAAGAACAAGACTTCCTAATTCTTCCACTCCACTACTATATATGACCTTTAAAGTATTCTTCCCATTTAACCTGCTTAGGCATATGTTTTGATCATTTGGATTCTATTATGAGATTCAACGAGAATCACATCACGAGAGTATTCTAAAAACCGAAATTACAAAATCAATGTTTTCAATACCATACCATACAGGTCCGTACCATGCCCACCCCTAACAGTGAAAACCTAATAAACTATGGGAAGTGTGTCGGTATAGTCCACCCCATAAAGGCAATCTCTTGAACAAAGCTCTCCCACCTCAATTGATTCCAAAAGCCCAAGGCCCCTGGACCCACTTGTTTCAACCTCCTTGTGGCCTGACCCCACCTTCCGGCCCCACCAGAATCACCAGCCACCACAAGATAATGAAAAAACTTTTCCTACCCATTAACTTCCCTCCACATGTTGCCCTTGGATTCTCTCCCCACTTGATAGTTGCCTACTGTTATTCTCCCTACTTTCCCCCTTCATATTCCACAGTGCCCCATAAGTCTGCAGCATACCTGCTAAACTTCAGTATTCGAAGTACAACAGAAAATAGAGAGCAAGAAGAAAAAATAGGCTAAAAATAGTTCAATGTTGAAAAAGGAGAACAATGGGGGTTTTGATGGCAGCAGCAATTACTGGGCAAGGGTGTGTGACAGTTGCCGTTCAGTTACCTGTACCATTTACTGCCAGGCGGATTCTGCCTATTTGTGTGCAGGCTGTGACGCCCGCATACATGCAGCAAGTCTGGTGGCTTCTCGTCACAAGCGTGTGTGGGTTTGTGAGGCCTGCGAGTGTGCCCCTGCAGCCTTTCTTTGCAAGGCGGATGCTGCCTCACTTTGTGCCTCCTGCGATGCTGACATCCATTCTGCCAACCCCTTGGCACATCGTCACCACCGTATCCCAATTATTCCCATTCCAGGTAGCCACCATTTTTCTTCACACAGACCATATATACTCCTACATGAGAAAAATAACAAAAAATTCATTATATATGGCTTCTAAACCATAATATCAAAAGTGTAATGTTTTAAATAATAAAAAACATAAAAATTGAACTCATCAAACTTAAATTCTAAATTTGGCTCTGATTCCAATCTCCAGGAACCCTTTATGGTCCTCCAGCTGTTGACACTGTTGGCAGTGATTCTATGATGATTGGTGGGTCCACGGGGGAAGGAACGGAGGATGATGGGTTCTTGAGTTTAACACAAGATGCAGATGATACGACTATAGATGAAGAAGATGAAGATGAAGCAGCTTCATGGTTGTTGCTGAATCATCCTGCTAAGGACAACAATAAGAACAACGTTCACAATAACAACAATCAAACTAGCAACTATGGTATGTTGTTTGGTGGGGAAGTAGTCGATGACTACTTGGATCTTGCAGAATATGGAGAGGATAGTCAGTTCAATGATCAGTACAATGTTAACCAACAGCAACAACATTACTCTGTTCCTCGGAAGAGCTATGGTGGAGATAGTGTGGTGCCCGTTCAGGACGGTCAGGGAAAATCTCTATTTTTTTACCACCAACAACAACAAAGTCACCACCTGAATTTTCAGCTGGGGATGGATTATGACAATTCTAACACTCGACTCGGTTACCCTGCTTCTATGAGTCACAGTGTATGTTTTCTTCACTTTATTCATATATCTCAATTCAAGCAATATGCACTTTCAATTCATGAGTTGTCTTAAAGAATCTTCACCTTTTTTGCTTTTCCTTCGGCTTTCTTTTGAAACTTGATTTAACACAACGTTACAACGTTCATGTTGTTAATCAGCGACATTCTACACGGATGTTGCTGTAGTTTTATGTCCTGATCATCAAGATAAATCCTGCAGTCTTGCTAGTCTGTTTTCTTGAATGAACCAAGGAAATTTTCTTGGATCTAAACTTTTATGCCTTATTTTTCAGATAACTGATTTCAATTTTCATGGACAATCAACTTTAGTTATCATTTAAGTGATAGTTAACCGGAGCGATAACCCCTTTTGTTTTCTTTATCAGGTTTCTGTTTCGTCGATGGATGTCAGTGTAGTCCCAGAATCTGCACTAAGTGAAACTTCAAACTCCCACCCACGACCTCAAAAAGGGACCATTGACCTTTTCTCAGGCCCTCCAATTCAGATACCTCCCCAGCTTACTCCAATGGACAGAGAAGCCAGAGTCCTACGGTACAGAGAGAAGAAGAAGAATCGTAAATTTGAGAAAACCATAAGGTATGCTTCAAGAAAAGCCTATGCAGAAACAAGGCCAAGAATCAAAGGTCGATTTGCAAAGAGAACGGACGTAGAGGCTGAAGTAGACCAGATGTTCTCCACACAATTAATGGCAGATAACAGTTATAGAATTGTCCCTTCATTCTGAATGCAACATAGAGAAGATTAACTAGAAGTCTCTAAACCTAGTATTACTAGTGTAACTCTTACATGATTATCAATATAACTAGCTCTTGAATAATTAAAAATGTTACTAAAGTAGTTCTCCGAAGAGAACTTATTAAATTCTCTGCATTGTTGTATATGCAAAAGGAGTTCTTCCTTGTAGATCATGTTGCAGTCAGTACGTACAATTTTTCTGAGGAGAAAGCAAACAAAGAGCCCCTCCAGTGTAAATGGATTGACCTAACAAGACAAAAAGTAGTAGTTCTGCAAGAGCAAAGGATTGACTGCAGAATCAAGGTGGGGGTGGTGTGGATGAGAAATCTGTACCCTAAAACCTTTTGGTACAAAATTTTACCTCCTTAGTGGACCTACCCGGCACAAATTCAGATACCAGATGCCTAAAGGGAAAAGAAAAAAGAAAAGAAGAATTGACCGCAGTTACCTTTTCCAAATAAAAAGAACTCAGTGCAACCACAAGTAATAGGAAAAGCACTATTACCAACGACCTCTGGATGCTCAGTGGCGGTATATGACATTGTGAGCTGGTGCAATATAATTGAAGCTCAATTCTGCTTTCTGCTTTCTGCTTTCCACTGTGGTCATCCTTTTGTTGGAACATACTCTTTTGGTCCAGGGCCTCTCCCTCATCTAGTGTTTGTCCCAGATTCTCTTTCAGCACAATAAATGACCCATCACTGAAGATAAAGAATAAAAGGTCCACTTCTCAAAGGATAGGAAAGCACTGATGCAATACTTTTTCCTAAAAATGGTAGTTCATAAGCACCATGTAAGCAAAATACTGCAATGATCAGCAAAAGTTTAATATTAAAATACAGTTTTTATTCTTTAATCAGCAAGGACATAGGTACTTTCCCTTCACCTTTACTGAAACTTAAAAGTGGAAAGTGCATCAAGGCAATTGACTACTAAAGTGATCATCCTATCTTGGGATCTAAAGGTTCTTTTTTTAATCCATTTCATTAACCGTTTATATATAATTAACCAAAAAAAAAAAAAACATGGCAGTATGAACATTACTGGATGCTGGACTGTGGACTCTAGTTCCTCCAACAGAGTCAAAAGCAAAAGGGAAGAAGAGCACCCCCAGGGTATGGTCGGGTTTTAAGTGCAAAGAACGATTAAAAAACACATGTCAGTGAAGGAAGACGAATATGAAGATGAAGAAATAAAAATAACCACAAACAAGCCATTATATGGACAAATGAACTGACAAAAAAATTGCAAGTGAAACATAAATAAAGAATAAAACATGTCAATCCAAGTTCAAAATCCGTTGCAAAGATGCAAATTTAAGTTTCTAATTCAATTTTATTGACTAATTTTGTTCACTAAGTTTCTAACTACCTGTTTTTAATCATTAACATTTTTTCCATAACGTTTTCTTAACAAGTGATAAATGACTTTGCTTTATAATTATTTGTTCTTTGACTCTGTCAATGTGAGCTTGTTGAAATTATCGTCCTAAGCCTAGATAAAGAGAGGAGGGTTGCCGAAGCCCGAAGGTCAATCGGAAACAGCTTCTATACCACATAAAGTTAGGGGTAAGATTGCATACATCTTACCCACTCCAGACCCCACTTGTGGGATTACATTGGATTTTTGTTGTTTTATAATTATTGTATATTATCGCCCTCTTCAAAACAAAACTTACAGGCATTATAAATTACTACTTACACTTATTAAGAAGCAATTAGTTGGCTGTCTTTCTAGGCACAGACTTACACTTAAGCACTGCCTAAACAACGCAATGTACTCTTTAACAAAATGCTACATAATCCAACAAGTTCTGTCGCAGCTACATAAATTGATAATCTTCTATCTTTTAGCAATCCATGTGATCCAGTTCATTGGATTTCCAGTCACAGTAAACCATGAGGCATAAAATGAGTAGGTATTCCATGGCTCCAACAGTATCAGTAATCAAACCACAATATCCTTTTATCACTTGTAAGCTGATACGGGGGACTCAAAGTATGCAACTGCCTGAACAAGACGCAGAAGGACAGCATATTGCACTTTTACCTTTTCTGATGTGAAGTAATTGTCCTGCATATCAAGGAATAAAATGGAAATGTAGGTAAGAACTTTGTGGCTAAGAAATTTCATCCAAGATGGCTTGGATGTCCACTTTTAGGTCCTTTTTGATCATTGAGTACTTTTAATATCCTATTCGGCACTGCTATTCGTTGGACAGAAGAACTTTTATCCACCTCACAACTCACTAGCAAAGGAAAAGAATACGCATCAATGTGTCACGGCCAATATTATTCGTGCCAGAATAAAGGACAAACAAGTCAAATTCTTTGAGATATTCCTGATCCAGACAACAGCATATTCAAGGTGCTCTACTATCTTATCCCTTTTAAATCTTGTCCAATTACTTTTCAGGACTTCAACAAAGATGTCTCATTTTAAAAAGTATCAGTGGACTGTTAAAGGACCTGGAGGCTAATCTAAATCAGCATTTAAAAGCATATAGTTTATAAACAAATGTAGCACTTTCTACTTTTGTGGAGGTAGAGTCCTGAGAAAAAGTGAAAAGTGTAGGTTCCACGTAAGTCACCTGAGCACAGCTAAGCCATTCAAGTTTTAGGTCCATCAGATTCCAAGGGAACTTTAGCTATCTATTTCTGCTCTGCCATTTGCTGAGCCTTAGCACTTTTTCCACAGTTCATAAATGCCAAGAAATCCACCATGGAGCAATTCTTGTGATACCCATATGCTTATAAAATTACTAGGTTTTGGGCAGACATTTATCGCTCATCAATGTGAAGTAATCTTCTTAAAACAACATACTTATATGTGTTCCATTATAAAATTAAAATTTTAAAAAGTTTCAAGTTCATGAATATAATGAATGTTAATTATCTTTTGCAATTTAATTAAACCCACTTCAGTGATTCTTCTACCAGTTCGCTCCAAATTTGCTTTAGATCTTCATAACATCATAATAAGATTGAAGGGTTGCAACTCGTTGTCACTAAAATTAAAAGCGACTTCCACTACTTTTTTCTTCCACTACTCTTCTTTGAAGAAATTCCTTGATTTACCTCGCAATTTCTTAATGTAGTCTACTTTGCAGAAGTTCCTGGTGTTAGTAAAATGTACTCAGTTACAGAATCAAGCTTAAAGTTGATATTAAAAAAAATTCATAAAGAAGTCCATTGAATAATAACTCTGATTAAAACCTTTCTAATCCTTGGGTTACAAAGCAAAGGAAAATGAAGCATTAAGAAGAAAAACGCATATTTAAGGTTCAAGGTCTATCATTACTTCTGTTAAATGAAATTCCAGACTTGGTGTAAATTAATTTCATTTCATAGTAAATTGAGAAGCAAATTACAATTTTGCTTTTTAAAAGATAGTTAAGTTATTTCAATTCCCTAAAATGACTTTTCCCCTGCAAATTTATTTGCATTAGAACTTTTAACTAACTTAAGGGAATATTTAATGAAAACTGACAAAAATATTTTATAATTGTGTTCCTATATTTTATAGGGACATCCAATTTTTTCAGTTGGAGAAAATATTGAACCTGAATCTTTAAACTCTTAAGATGCGAATACAGGAAAAGTGAATTAGAGGTAAGAGACTTGAGTAAAGCAGTTAAGACAAAAGGAGACCAATTTCTATACTAAATTGATCTTATAAAACTCTTTTCCTGGAAAATTCCTATTTCTTGTCATTGCTAGACTTTATTTAGGGCAAAAGATTTATTGATGGTTCATTCCATTCCGAAGTTAGTAATGTTCATGAAGTTGGTGAACTTTCCTCTAAATAGCTTGTTTGGATGGTTGTTACCTATTGTATTGTAGTGTATTATGTTGTTAGTTTAAATATACTGTTGTTTTAGTGGTTTCTTAAATTTTAGAGTTAATGGTTAAAAAAACACCTGAACTATCACTTTTTTCGCGAGTTTCACACCCAAATTATGAGTTGTTCCCTTTTCCTACCTGAAATATCACCATAAATGTATTAAAATACACCTCAGCGCTGATTAAACTAGCTATTAGTTGTTCCCGGTGTGCACTTTCTGTTATCACCCTCTTTCATTGCCATTTTTGAAGCCAATAGAAAAAATCTTTCCCACCTGAACTATCACTATCTACTCAAGAAGATGTTTTATTTATGAAACAATGTTATATGCATTCGGAGGCTAATCCAGATCAATATTTTAAAACATACAGTAAAGACAATGTAGAGCTTCCTAACTTTTTTGGATGAAGAGTCATACCATAAAGGTGAAAAGAGTAGATTCTATCTCAACAAGAACATTGAAGTTGTGGACCTGTGGATTCTCTTCCCACTTTGTAGTTGCCTACTGTTATTTTTCCTTCTACTCCACTTTCACATTTCACAGCACCCCATAAGTTTACAGCATACCTGCTCAAGTTCAGTATTCAAAGTACAATAGAAAATAGAGAGCAAGAAGGGAAAAAAAAAGTCAGTTCAATGTTGAAAAAGGAGAACAGTGGGGGTTTTGATGGCAGTAGCAACAACTGGTCAAGGGTGTGTGACAGTTGCCGTTCCACCGCATGTACCGTTTACTGCAGGGAAGATTCCACCTTCTTGTGTGCCGGCTGTGACTCCCGCATGCATGCAGCAAATCTGTTGGCTTCTCGTCACGAGCGTGTGTGGGTTTGCGAGGCCTGCGGACGTGCCCCTGCAGCCTTTCTTTGCAAGGCAGATGCTGCCTCACTCTGTGCCTCCTGCGACGCTGGCATCCACTCTGCCAACCCCTTGGCGCGCCGTCACCACCGTGTCCCAATTATGCCCATTTTAGGTAGCCACACAAAAATTATACTCCTACATGTAAAAAATAACAAATATTTCAAGAAATATGATTTTTGAACCATAATTCCAAAATGTATAGCATTAAGTAGCAAGAACATTTAAAGATTGAACCCATCAAACTTAAATTCTAAATTCGTCTTGATTCCACTTTCCAGGAACCCTTTATGGTCCTCCAGCTGTCGAAACTGTTGGCAGTGGTTCTATGATGATTGGTGGGCCCACAGGGGAAAGCACGGAGGATTATGGGTTCTTGTGTTTTACTCAAAATGCAGATGATATGACTGTAGATGAAGATGATGAAGATGAAGCAGCTTCATGGTTGTTGCTGAATCCTCCTGTTAAGAAGAACAATAAGAACTTTGACAATGACCACAATAATCAAAATAACAACTATGGGATGTTGTTTGGTAGGGAAGTAGTGGATGACTACTTGGATCTAGCGGAGTATGGAGGGGTTAGTCAATTTAACGATCAGTACAGTGTTAATCAGCAGCAACAACATTACTCTGTTCCTCAGAAGAGCTACCGTGGAGATAGTGTTGTGCCAGTTCAGGAAGGACAGGGAAAATCTCTGATTCTCTACCACCAACAGCAGCAACAACAAAGTCACCACCTAAATTTTCAGCTGGGAATGGAGTATGACAATTATAACACTAGATATGGTTACCCTGCTACTATGAGTCACAGTGTGAGTTTTCTAATCTGTATCCATATATCTCACTTCAGGCAACATGCACTTTGACGAAATTCATGGACCAAGAAAATTTTTATGGATCTAAATTTGTATTCCTTATTTTTCAGATCACTGATTTCACTTTTTATGGACGAATAACTGTAGGTACCTTTTAAGTGATAGTTAATTGGAGCGATGACCACTTTTGTTTTATTTATCTTGATGTATTCTCAGGTTTCCATTTCGTCGATGGATGTCAGTGTTGTCCCAGAATCTGCACTAAGTGAAACTTCAAACTCCCACCCACGACCTCCAAAAGGGAACATTGACCTTTTCTCAGGCCCTCCAATTCAGATACCTCCCCAGCTTACTCCAATGGACAGAGAAGCCAGAGTCCTGAGGTACAGAGAGAAGAAGAAGAACCGTAAATTCGAGAAAACCATAAGGTATGCTTCAAGAAAAGTCTATGCAGAAACAAGGCCAAGAATCAAAGGCCGATTCGCGAAAAGAACAGACGTCACTGAAGCAGACCAGATGCTTTCCACACAATTAATGGCAGATAGAATTTATGGAATTGTTCCTTCATAGCAATGAGTAGATCAACTATAAGTCCCTAAACCTAGAATTAATATTGTATCTTCAATCATTATCGATCGACTAGCTATTGAATAATGAGAATGTACTAAAATAGTTTTCCACAGAGGATTTACTAAATTCTCTGCATTGTTGTATATGTACAAAAAGAGTTCTTCCTTGTAGACCGCATTGCAGTCAATACGTACAATTTTCCTGAGGAGAAAGAAAAGAAAAAGGCCCTCCAGTGTAAAGGAATTGACTGCAATATCAAGGAGTGTGGTGGAATGAATGAGAAATTTGCATCCTAAACCAAAGGTCTTGGGTTAATGCAGGACCTTTTGGTATGAAGTGTTTACCTTCTTAGTGGACCTACCCAGCACAAACATAGATACTAGATGCCTAAAGGGAAAAGAAAAAACAAAAGAAGAATTGATTGCAGTTAACTTTTCCAAGTTAAAAAAGAACTGAGTCCAGCCACAAGTAATGGGAAAAGCACTATTACCAACAACTTCAGGTTGCCCAGTTGTATATGACAATGTGTGCTGGTGCAATATAATTGAAGCTCGCTTCTGCTTTCCACTGTGGTCATCTTTTTGTTGGAACATATCTTTTTGAATTTGATACATAATGTTCATCAATAACTGCTTTTGGTCCAGAGCCTTCCCAGATTCTCCTTCAGTACAATGAATGTCCCATCACAGCTAAAGAATAAAAGGACCACTTCTCCAAGGATAGGAAAGCACGGATGCAATATTTTTGCCTAAAAATGGTAGTCCATACGCACCGTGTAAGCAGGATATCACAATGATCATCAAAAAATTTAGTTTAATGACGGAATCAAGGTACATGATATCCCCAAAACAGATAAAAATACAGCTTCTAATTTGAAATCGGCAAGGAAATAGGTAATTTCCTCAAGATATATAAGAAGCACTTTAGTCAGTTGTGAAAGGAAAATTTAAGGCAATAGAAGTAAGGGGAACAACATGGGATAGATGGATAAAACTATTGAATTAAGCTAGTGAATTTATCTAAGACCAATCATCTGGATTTTCCCTTCACTTCTACTGAAACTTAAAAAGTGGAAAGTGCATCAAGACGATCAACTACTAAAGTGATCCTCCTATCTTGAAATCTTAAGTGTTCTCTGTTTCATTTATTTCATTAATTGTTCATATATAATCAACTTAAAATACTTGGCAGTATGAACCTTACTGGATTCCACTGGGTTCTAGGTCCTGCAACAGAATGGTGTTGTCAAAAGCAAAAGGGAAGAGCACCCCCAGGGTATGGTTGGAATTTAAGTGCAAAGAAGGGTTAAAAAGCACAAGCTAGTGAAGGGAGATGGAGATGAAGAAACACAAATAAAAATAAACAGATATGAAGAATAAAATCATTTTAAAGTTTATTCAGTTGCACAAATGCAAACTTAAGTTTCTAATTATCTACTGAATTTCTAACTCACTGTTTTTAATTTTTTAATAAGTGATATATGAATTGCTTTTTAATTATTGTTTAGTGTCACCCACTTCAAAATAGAATTTACAGGCCTTATAAATTACTTAAATTTTTTAAGAAGCAATTAGTTGGCTGTGTTTTTGTAGGCACACGCCTTACACTTGAGCACTGCCTGAGAAACAAAAAGAAGCTAGCCTGCGATGCATCTAGATTCGAGGTTTAAGCATGCCTCATGAGCACTTCTAACATATTGCTACGTAATCCAACATCACCCTGGTATTAACAAGTTCTATCTAGTTCAATTACTGAATACTTTTGTTTAGCAGAAATCAAAAGGGCAAAACGTATTTATAAATACAGCTGCTTTACAAACAAGCCCCAAAAAGATGTAGCTTACATAAATGACTTGGGTTGCTTTAATAGATTCTCAGCCATTATTTGGCTCATTTATTTCTGCACTAATCTATTTACTACCAAAACAGCTTAACACTAAGAAATATCAATAAAGATACTTGCTCATCTCCTCATACTTGTTTGCAGGCTAATAAATTGTTAATCTATCTTTAGCAATCCCTGTGATCCAGTTCATTCAATTTCCAGTTACAGTAAACTGTGAAGCATAAGACGAGGAGGTATTCCATGGCCTCAACAGTATCAGTAATCAAAACAGAGTGTACTTTTATCAGTCTTGAGCTAATACCAGGTTTACAACATATGCAACTGATTGAACAAGACGCAAAAGGAAAGCATATTGCACTTTTACCTTTTTTTGATGTGAAGTAGTCATTGATAAAGTAACACGGCAAGTTCCAGCTTATCGAAGAATACGATGAAAATGTAAGGAGGTAAGAACTTTGTGGCTAAGAAATTTCATCCAAGAATGGCTTGGACATTCACTTTTAGGTCCTTTTTGATCATTGGGTACTTTTAGTATCCAATTCTGCACTGCTATTAGTTGAACAAAGAACCTTTATCCACCCCACAACTCACTAGCAAAGAAAAAGAATACTCATCAATGTGTCACTGCCAATATTATTCCTGCCAGAGTAACGGACAAACAACTCATTGTTTGAGATATTCCTGATCCAGATATAGTTGATATAATTTAATTAACAACAGGATATTCAAGGTGCTCTACTATCTTATACTCCCTTTTAAATCATGTTCAATTTTTCAGTGCCTCAACAAAGATGTCACATTTTAAAAGGCGTCAGTTGACTGTCAAAGGACCTGAGGCTAATCTAAACCAGCATTTAAAAGCATATAGTACTATAGTAGTAGTTTATACAAAAATGTAGCACTTTTTGCTTTTGTGGAGGTAGAGTCCTGAGAAAAAGTGAAAAGAGTAGGTTCCACTTAAGTCACCTGAGCACAGCTAAGCTTTCAAGTTTGAGGTCCCTCAGATTCCAAGGGAATTTTAGCAATCTATTTCTGGTCTACCATTTGTCTGAACGTCAGCACTTTTTCTGCAACTCATAAAAGCCAAGCAATCCACCGTGGAGCAATTTTAGTGATTCCAACTCAATAAAATTATTAAAGCGATAAAACAACCTTTAGTGATTTCCTAATTCAATGTGAAAACACAAACTACATTGCTGGTTCATTCGACAACAAAATCCAGATATAGTAATCTTATTTCTTGTATATGAACAACTAACTTTGTACAAGTTTGCTGCTCGAGATTATATCGTATACACACACAAGGTGTTGTCCAAAATGCTCGACTCCCTCAACTACCTCTCAAAAGCACAGGTGTCAAATTATTCTGCCCACCAACATTTAGGCAAATGAGAAGAATTTGTGTCATATCCATAATAACTAATGATAATTTTACTTGCTTTACGTATTATGCCTCATTAAAGATTGTATCATTGTTTCGGAGGATAATCCTAACCAATATTCTAAAGTTATGGTTTAAAAGAAAATGTAGCATTGTAGATTCTATCTCAGCAAGAACATTGAAGTTGTGGTCCTGAATTTTGGAAAGAAGTTACCAGAGCCTGGCTAAGCCTTTCAACTTTGAGGTCCCTCTTGATCCATGGGCACTTTAGTACCTATTTCTGCCCTGCCATTCGCTGAAACTCAGCACTTTTAACACAGCCCACAAACACCAAGCATTCCATAATGGAGCAATTCTTGTTATTCCGACGTTCATAAAATCATTAAAGCAATAAAACATCTTTCAGATCCTTAGGACTTTATGTATCTATTTCTGCAATGCCATTTGCCAAACATCATTACCTTTTTTTTATCTGATTGACAGCCATAACAAAGATTCTTTCGTGTCATATCATCAATGTAGAATTAAGAGGTAGCATACGCGGAATCAAGGCGGCTCAACCCTAAAACTCAAAAAAAATACAAATCCTCCAAAGAACCAAAAACCCCAAATTCAGTTCAAAAAAGGAAATTCAAATACGAAAACATGTATAAAATGCACAAAACAGAAATAAATAATCGAGCAAGAGGCGAGATTAAACGAAGAACCAAAAGCACTGGATAGAAGACGCAGACAAAAGATAAAGGAGCAATCTATCTGTATTTATAATGAGAAGCACCGTAATAAGCACGCTAATTAAATAAAGTGTTAGAAGCACCGCTATAAGTACGCTAAGAAAAATGTTACTAGTAATATCGTATTGTGAGAAGCACCGTAATAAGTAGAATATAAAAAAATTATGTATTTAGTGTTACTATTAATTTTTTTAAAAATTATAGTTTGTTGCTAATTATTATGCATATATATTTTTGAAATGTTATTATTGATGTAATTATAATGTAAAATAGTAGATAATTATTGATGTAATTAAAATTAAAAATAGATGATAATTTACTATGTTCCATATTATTTGATCATTTTCCTTTTTACATGTATATTAAAAAATCATAAATAATTAGATAAAGTTACTACTTCATTTGTCCAATAATATTTGTCCATTATTGATTTTGCACAATTTTTAAGAAACTATAAATAGAATGATAATTTTACTATATCACCTTTTGAATATGCTTCCTCCATTCACTTTTATCCCTAAAATAGATTTTCATTTTTATTTGTCACAAAGACAAAAAAAAAATCATGTTTTACCCTCAACATCAAATATTTATTTTTTAAATCATTTTTCAAGACATCATTTAATAGGGGATAATTTGGTAAAATACTTAAAGCTTTCTTGATTTAGTAAGGTGACAACTAATTGGGACACCTATTTTTAGTTAGATGATCAACTACTCTAATATGGGGCAGAGAGAGTAATTATTATGCACATATTTTTGAAATTTTACTATTGATATAATTATATTAAATTCATAAATAATTAAATTTATCGTTAATTTTGTTGACACCCAATTTTGGGCCTCCACAATATAGATTAATCATCGAGCTTCTTTAATTTCAAACGATTTCGAATAATTAGTTTTAGAAAATTAAAAAAAAAATAAAATAAAATAAAATAATATGTATAGATATATATATATATATATATATATATATATATATCACTTATTTATAATTCTTAAATAATATACGTGTTATGCATATAATTACCATATTTCATGAATGTTCGAAAATTGTCTCAAAACGATTTTAGTTTTATTTAAATATTTGGCTATTTGGTTTAAATTAATTAATAACTTATATTTCGAGTTAACTAGTTTATAATTAAGTTAATTATTATATAATTATGTGTCTAATTAGTATATTTTATAAATATTTGAAAATCATATCAAAAGATTTTTATTTCTTTTAGCTAAGTGTTTTACTAACTTAGTTTAATTTAAATCATAATTACGATTTTGAATTAATTAGTTCATGTTTAAATTAATTATATTATTATCAAGTTAATTATTTTATTTCGTTAAGAGTAAGAAACTCGTTAATTAATTAATATTAAATTCATCTTATTTATTTATTTATTTATATTTTTCGGCCACTTTCTCCAAGTAAATCTGATTTGGTTACTTTTGTAATCCTAATCGGTTATAATTGCAATTCTTTTGGCCAAATCCTCAATTCAAAACCTAGCCATTTTATTACAATTCTAACCCTTTTCCCACCTTGCATTCAAATTTTTTTTTAAAGACCAAAGTTGGGCCAACCTTTAGCCCAACTTCAGTCAGCCCATATCCACTCTGACCCAGCCCAAAGCAAAGAAAACTATGCCCCATATAATTACAATACATACATCAAATAGACAACACCAAATGGACCCCACCCATATACCCTTTGTTCTTTTTTTTCTTCCAGCAAAAACCAAGCAACGTGAATAACAGAGCAATACACGGAAAGCAATCGACGACGTCAATCCAAATAGACGGAAAGCGATTCACGGCGTCTATGTAAAGCACATGTAATTTTGTCCTTGTAGCAGGCGGCAGACACGTTTTCCTTCCATTCCCTCTTCCGGAATGAGTAAAAACCTCAAGAGAAAAGGTGTTTATCCGAATTGGTGCAAGAAATTTATGGCGTTTGAATTTCGAATTCCCACTCGAATTCATCCATTTTCCCCCTCGAATTCATCCATTTTCCCCCCTATTTGGAACCCTAATTTCTCCCCTATAAAGACTTTACCTTCTTCACTGTGTTAGGGGGCCGAATTTATTTATTTTTTAGCTGGGGGAACATATTAGAGAAAGAGGTTGGAAAAATAAAAAAGTCAGCTTGAATTAGGAAACAATACTGTGAGCTACTAGGTATATAGTTGGATACAAATATTTAGGAAATAGGTTTCGAGGTTATAGAGATTGGAAATCAAACTTCTGCTCCCGTTTGACTCTGCTCTGTTCATCGAGGCTCTCGGAGTCATATTCCAGCGGTGGTGAAGTCGTCTCCTCTTCGTCTTGTTCTAGTTCGCTGCCCCGAAAAAAGTATACTTCCTCACTTTCTTTGTTAGTTCTCTTGCGTGTTTTATCTTCAGCCTATTGTTGGAGTAGTTAATTTGGCTCAATGTTTCTTTGTCTTGTTTGGAATTTCAGTTTTTCCAATCTTAGTATAGTTGAGATTTTTTTTTTTTTCTAATGATAGTATAGTCGTTTACTTGGTATTTGCTCAACATTTTTTTTTCTCTATGGATGTTATTTTTATGCCTATTTGTGCCGGTGCGTAGCATGGAATAGCAATATTTCTATGATTAGTTATTTGGAGGCCGCTATTTTCTTCCTTTGCTTAAAATGATTTAGTTGGCTATTGCCTCCAATATTTTGACCCTCTAGTATAACAAGTTGTCCTCTTTAGTCCCCCATGGATAAAATTTAGTTTTGTTATTGCTTGAAATGGAATATTTGTCTAATATGCAGCATGCTTTCCCTCTCTTCTTATTTTGAGCTATGTTGGTTGCTTATTATTTACTTATCATGGTGTAATCTATTCTTATTTTGTCCATGTGCAGCCTCTATTTTGTTGTTTTATTCGGTGATAGTTTTTCTTGAATATCATGCCTTTGAACAAAGTACAATCACTTCCTTGTTTACATTTCAAAGTTACCCAAGAAGTGTCCCTTTAGCATTTTGATTGGTTTGTTCAATTCTTATTTATTTAGGATTATTGTGATCTATTATCTTTAGAAAGCATGTTTTGGAGTTATGGTCTTTCCTTGAATTCTTGACATGTGATTTACAACGACCCATAATGTAACCTTTTTTTTATTTTTTATTTTTTTTATTTTTTGTTAAAGAGCTTGTTCTATACTTTGTTTGCTTGCACGAAGATCAATAACTCTTCTTATTCAATTTTTCTTATTTGTTCCATGATTTCTAATTTCTTATCCTCGTTTTCGTTGCATGTGAAATGCTATCCGAGCCTATTTTGGACTCTACTCTTGCATATCCTCGAATTGTCTCAAGTCACCCTCATATTCGGTGAAAAAGAAGCTGAAACAGGCCCCGGAAAAATCCCAAAAATAGGCTGTATACATATTGTATACAGCAGTATATATCGATATACATTGAAATACAGGTTGAAAACAGAGACGCAGGTGTCCGGGGGTCCAAAAATATATTACATACATTTGTATACATTAAGTTACAGGTTCTGGGCGCCGTATACAAGAATATACAGCCGTATATGGAAGTCGTATACGCTGCATAAAGGCAGTGGAAAATGGGCCAAGGGCCCAAAAAAAATTGAATTTGGGCCAAAAGCCCCCCAAATTTGGCCTAGCTTCTTTCTTTGTTTTATTTGTTTTCTAACTAACTTTTTTTTTATCTAATTTGGTTTAACTTAATTAATTCCCCAAAAAGATGAACATTCTTTATGTTAGTTTATTTTAATTTTTACCGACTCTCATGCTTTTATTGAATATTTAGTCAAAATTTTATATTGTCATTTTCAATTCATTTAAAAAGGTTTCATGCTTTAATTAATCAAGTTGGTTCAAATTATTTTTAAAATGATGTAAAAGGATAAACTCTTTTAAAAATTTTTCTTTTTTTTCTTTTTTTAAAATTCCATTCAAGTGCAATTTAATTCAATTGTTTCACTTCGGATCCTTTTCTCTAAACAAAAAATAAAAATAAAATGTGTCATTCATCTAATTGTTTTTCTCAAAATTAATTAAATATTGTAATTTATTTAATTACTCTCATGTTAAATCTCTCAAAATCAGTCAAAATCATTTTGGTCAAATCGCCGGTCAACCGCAAGTTAGCGGGCATTCCGAGGGCCTAACACCTTCTCGGAATGTACATTGAACTTCGAACCCCTTTTCAATTGATTTTATCTGTTTTAAATCTTTTGAAAAATCTTAAATTTTTTCTTGATTTTTTTTAATAAAAATTAAGTGGCGACTCTGTCCTTTTGGAAACCCGATTTCTCTTAAACCATAAGTTTAATCGGCTTTTCGAAAACTCAATCAGTTTTCCTTATTTATATTTTTAAATAAAACAAATTTTTATTTCTTAATTTGTTTTATTTTGTTTGAATTAATTAATGCCTGCAAAATGAGCCCATATTTTGGTAACCCGTCCATATTTTAATGGGTTGGGTGAGTGATTTTTTACACGGATAAAATATGGGTTGATACCCATATTTAACCCATAAAAATATGGGTAAACTATGGGTAAACTATGGGTAAAGTATGGACTAGCCAAGTGGGTTAAGCTTCCAACTTTTGTTTACTCAAAATTCATGATATCACTAAAATTGTTGTAACTTCTCTTCCTTTTTATGTCATAAAAACCAATTATTCTTCTCTATAATTGAAAAGATGAAGTATTTGGCCCTCCAAAATATATATATTTTAAATGTACAATTCCTTTGTTAATTATAATTATATTTTTTATTTGTTTAATTTTGTATTGGATAATAAACAATAGTGTAAAATAAGAAAATCATGTATTAGTATTGACATTGCTTAAAGTGCATTAAGCATGTTTTAGTTCTAAAATGTAAATACATTTACTTTGAAATTTAAAATATTTTCCCCTTGTTATTATATAAATTTATTTTATATTGAAAAGCTATAGGAGTTTTTTTTTTTTTTTTTACTTTTATGATACA